AAACAAAAAGCGTATCTGTAAGAAGAGTGTTTGAAATGGTGCCATGGTTTGGTCAGAATAAATATGAATATTAAGCAATTTGAAAACTTTGTCAAGGCGAGTGTCCGTACTTTGCATCCTCCAGTTCCTCAGTCCTCTGAATGGCGTCGGTCTCATATTTCGTTCTCCACTGAGCCACCTCAGAGTTGGCCTTGGAGAGGCTGCGCTGCAGCTCAGCTTTGGCCTCCTGTTCCTCCTCATACTGCTCCCTCAACAGGTCAGAGTCATGGCGAGCAGACTGCACCGCGTGGGCCAGAGCGTTCTTAGCCTGGAACCAAGAAGATGAAGATCACTCATAATGTTCAGACTTACCATTCCCTAATTTTCGGATTAGAGTGTTTCATTAAAGCAATCACCTTGACTTCCTCCTCAAGTTGTCTTTTGAGATCCTCAATCTGCTGGGTGTAGGATTGTTTTCCTCTGCTCAGCTGAGAGACCAGGGAGTCCTTCTCTTCCAGTTGCCTGGCGAGCTCCCCTGTGGTGGTACAGTTTATGAGGATACTTTGTGTAATGTGGCCACACTGTTGGGTATTTTAAATAAATTATGTCTAACAATAGGCTCACATACCATTTTCAGTCTGGAGCTTGGCTCTTTGCATGGTGAAGTCATTGATGCCCCGCTGGGCCTCCTCATATTTGGTTCGATATTCACTCATTTGATCTTCTAATGTCCTGCACATCTTTTCCAAATTTGTCTGCAATAATATGTTCAAATTAGTATCATCAGTGGTTTAACACTCTGTATACTATACTTAGTCTTCACATAATTTTATATATGTGACGTCTTACTTTGGCTTTGACAATCTGCTCCATGTTGGAGACCACATCATCCAGCTCCAGCCTGAGCTCACTCTTCTCTTTCTCAAGCTTCTGCTTCACTCTCTGCAGATTGTCAATCTGCTCTCCCAGGTCAGCTACACTGTCAGCATGCTTCTTTCTCAGAGTGGCAGCAGTTGCCTCGTGCTGCAGTGTGGCCTCTTCGAGGTCTCGGCGCAGTTTCTGGAACTCTGCCTCCCTCTTCTTGTTCATCTCAATCTGAGCTGCAGTGGCTCCACCTGCCTCCTCCAGCCTCTCACTGATCTCCTCCAGCTCCCTGGACAAGTCTGCCCTCTGCTTCTCCACCTTGGCACGAGCAGCTCTCTCAGCCTCCAGCTCTTCCTCCAGTTCCTCAATGCGGGCCTGATGAATGGTTGAAAATCATCAAGTTGCAGAATTTTTGATGACCAATTTTTCTCTAGGTCCTCAACATAGGTCTGTCACGAAATAGAAGTCTTTAGCTTTTCATTAAATTTGGCTAGTTAATAGTGCAGTATATCAAGAGTGTTCACGCTACACAAACACGTACCTGCAGCTCCTTCAGTTTCTTCTGGAGCTGAGCACCCATTGCCTGCTCATCTTCAATTTTACTATTTAATTGACTAATCTCAAAATCTTTCCTGTGACAGAAAACAAGGTTAATTAATTGTGAAATCAATTTTTTATCATTTCAAGCATTTAAAAAAAATTCAAAAACTAATTTACTTCTTCAGTCTCTCCTCCAGCTGCTGCTTGTCATTCTCCAGGTCCATTACATTTTCCTGGGTTAACTTCAAGTCACCCTCCAGCTTCCTCTTGGCTCTCTCAAGGTCCATACGAACCTTCTTTTCCTGTTCCAGGGAGCCCTCAAGCTGTAGGGATTAAGATTAA